CAGATCCACGCATCAGAGGTTCCTCGCTGCTCATTGCTTGTCGTGGTTCATCGTTCGGAGATGTTCGGAGCGAACTGCTCATGCCTCAGGAGAATGCAAGAATCGCTCGGTCCACGTCCATCGAAGGACGCACCGTTGCATGAGCTTACGGCATTGCAGGACATGTGAGGTGTAGGAAAATCTTTGGGTAGGTCATGGCAATTGTAAATCAGAACAGTGTCGTCAGAAATCCTAATAATTAATATACGGTCTGCAATCCAGGTTCTCTTCCATAGTTTTCTTGCTTGCCGACCAGGGCAATCAATCATCATACTCCTGCTCTAGCTTCTGTGCAGGTCTCATGCCTCTTGAACCCGACGCAAGAATTATCAACCACAAGTTCCGAAGCACAACGTCGCGAAAACTGGGCCCTCTAATTCTTGGGCGTTTCGATGCAAGGCACCGCCAGGCTTGAAAAACTGCTAGTAGCATTATTTGAAGCATGTCAAGAATACCCGAGCTGCCGTCTCCAAAGTCTCACCAAGCTGCCAAACAATCTATGAATGAAGCCCGGCTCAGATGAATGGTCCATGTTCTCCTGTGAGCAGGCGAGGCAGAGTCCTCGGAATGCCGGCCCATTGTCAAGACGAGAGGGAAAAACGTTCGGGCGCAGGCCCGGGTGGCCATCAAGTACTGCATGAGTTGCATGAGTTAGCTTCCCATGGATGGCTCGCAAGACAGAAAAATTACTTGTGAGTGCTCTTTAGATTGCAGCCGTGCTACTGTAAACGGCGCTTTGCACATGCAGTACTCGTCGCATTTCAGGGATGGGTTTTCACGGGCGATACGCCGTTCCTCCGTTTGGCCATCCGCCTTTGACGTCGGACTTTGCACATTTTTTGTTTCCTTCTGAGGCTGCAATGTCACACTAGGGCCACTGGGGGGGGGGGGGGGCATGGTGGGCACCTCGAGAGTTCTCCACGAACCACGTTAAAAAGAGACTGTGCCCAGTTGCTTCAACACTCTTCAACACTCATGTTTCAGCCGCTTGTTGCTTCATGCAAGACCGTGCCGAGCGAAGAGCAGGAGGAAGGTGCCTTCGCTCAAATGATTACACCGCTTGCCATTCCTAAAATACGATCGTGGCCGTGTTAGCAGGTCCATGGCGCTGACAGAATGCATTCAGAGGGTTTCAAAGGCATTCAACGCAAGCACTATCAGAACTGTCACGCGCTCGTTGGAGGTTCCAGCATGTTCTGCTGTTCAACAACATGGCATACTCAGGGCCTGCTTTGACAGATCTGAGCTCGAGCCGGCCGGTGGAAGATGTGTTTAACGACGTGGGCCTGGACCTTCAGGAGGACGAGGGATTCACTCCGAGCTTGTTTGTAGATGGTAGGGCTCCTTGAGTCTGCGGAAGAATTTGGAAGCTAGGAGCCCTCACAGTCCATCGAGGTCATGGAGTATGGAGAGGAGCTGTATTATGCAGCGGTGTGCATGGAGAGACTTGCCCTGGCCTCAATGTTCTTGAATGTTCTTGAGGATGCCCTTCTCAGCTTCAGCTCACTACCACGGGAAGATGCAGCAAGCTGCCCGGATGCAGCCGGAGCTTTTGGACAAGACTTGCCCTGCCGTGCCGATTGATTCTGATTTGAGGGGAGGGCAAAGATGCTGATGGTTTGCTTTACCACCATGCTCTTGATGAGTGTCTCCCGTGGCCGCTTTTTCTGAAGTTGAAGCAGACTCCATATTGCTGCGCCACCTGTGCACCACTGGCAGGTGTTCCTTTGGAAGAGGCACCGAGTTTGCCTGGGGACGATGCCGAGGCAAGATGTGGCAAGAAAGATAGCTCGAGGATGCTCCAGCACCTATTAAACCCCGGTCAACCCTGCTATCGCAAAAGCCTGACCCATGGATTCCCAGCAGGTGGGCGAAGTCGAAGCAGCCGTCTCTAAGGACATGGACCCGGATGATGGTCTTAATCCAGGGGAGCCAGAGCGGCCAGAGGGCCCAGAGAAGCGAATGCCCCAATGCCCGCTCCCAAGCAAACATGAGCATGTGCACAGGAGGGAGTGTAGCTAGCGTCAAATTGGTTCATCATAACACAAGGTCGGAGCGACACAGAAATCCTCCAAGTACAGAAGCAGGCCATGATTTGAGCTCTCATCCGCAGCACATTCGCACAAGCCTCTACAACATGCTTAGTGACTTGTGCTCTGCGAGTGCAATGTCATGGCGAGGTTCAGGAATCAGAGTCTTTGCAAGACGTGGACGAAGATTGGAAGGTTCCAAAGCCTCGGAAGGCCCCACCGAGATGTGCTTGCCAACCAACTGTGCTCTGCTCTGGCTAGCAGTTTGAACTGAGAATTGTTCATGCTCAACGTCCCGTTGACTTAAACCGTTCGCGAAAAGAGGTGAGCGAGGGGAAGCCCTCGGCAGGGAACGGTTTCCTGTGTTCCTCTTTGCGCTGAAGAGATATCAACAAGGAACCAAAACCGCTCATGTTCTGGCGCAAGTAAAATGTATGTCAATGTGGCTTATACATTTTCGTGTTATGAGTCTGTAAGTCTGTAAGTATTAACAAGTTATGGTTATGATTCTTGAAACTTCATATTCAGATTCACGCATTCCATTCGCACATTTCATGCGTGTGCGAGACGTTGTTTTAAGATAAATAGAGTCAATGTTGTAGATAATGTACATGATGTTAAGTCTCTGTGACATAGGGTTCTGTGTCATGAAACCCAATAGAGAGAGAAGAACAGCGAATAACAAATGGTGAGTTTACGTAATGCACCGTGGACTCCGGTGCACATGCTTCAGATAACATAGTAGCACAGACAACCAATAAATCACACAGTTTGAAGACTTCAAACATCTGACGTCGTTATTCCGTTTTTTCCTCCAAACTTCGCTTTGAATTGCAAATTTGGGCACCGCGCCCAAATCTGCAAGTATATGGTGATCTAAGAGGTTGTGGCAGAGTCTTTCACAATGAAGTCACGCGAAACACAACTCGGCAACCACAATCAGGCAAAGGCGCGGTCCAACTACAGCATCCCCTCGGTGACCTCGGGCTTGGGATTGCCTAGACAGCCACTGACGTGGCTCAGTGGGCTTGGGCGAAGATTTCTGCCGAACCGAGGCCCAGGCGTTTGCTCCAATTATCTGGAACAACTTGACTTTGCTGTTGACACCTTCTCACTTTCTGGCATGCTGCAGGAACCCCAACGCGAGTTGCGCCAGACGGCGCCAGGGTCTTTGTTCATACCAGTGGGTCACGCGTGTTTGCGACCCATGGGGCATGTTTGTGACTGAAGCTGCAGAGCGAAGGACATTTGCCAAAACAGGTCTTCCGGTCTTGCAGGAGAAATTGCAGAGGTCTTCCGGTCTTGCAGGAAAATTGCAGAGAGCCGGCCTTTGGGCCGTACACATGTGCACAGATTGCAATCTGTGCACGCTTGTGATGTGCAACTTTCTTGAGGTCGTGACGCTTTCTACACCAGTGCTACCCAATGCTGCCCAGTAGCGGCATTGCGTGAAAGTAGGCCACTCACCGCTGACAGATCGGTGGTTTTCAATAGCCGACAGTTTGCACATGTACGGTTTTTTTTTCATATGTGCGCGACCTTGCAACATGCAAGGATCGTTGCCTAGTGGGGGTTGTTTCAGACCCTCGGGTTTACAGGAAGCCCAGACATTGTGGCAAAGCTTCAGTGCCGCCAGTCTTCGTGCAAGGATCTATGAGGTCACCGTTGCATCATACAAGTTGGTCTAATCTATTTAATCAACGAAGAAACATGAAGCTGCCCATACCCTTGCACCTTGCTGAGCTTGCCTCTCCTCAGCTTGTCACGAAGTGAGTGTTGAGCCAGTTCCAATGCAGAAGCTTCCAGGCCCTGTAATTTGCAAAGAGTGCATGGGAATACAGGCCTGTGTTTTTCGACTCCATTTCACGAGAGCCAGCCCTATCATTTTGCAGCAAGTGTTTCCTGGAAATGCTATCGCTCATCTCGCCGAAGCTCCAAGAAATAAAGATGTTAGCATGGAGATGACAGTGATTGGCAGTGTCAGTGTGCAAAAATGCGGGCCTGTATTGCGAATCATTCTGGGCATGCTGCTTTCATTGCTTTCGTACTGAGTGCCCGTGCCTCGGAAGTTGAATGCTTCTCAGCTGTGCTTCACGGCTTCATGTGGCCACCTTCTGGCCATTTCCTGCGGAGAGCACGTACAAATGAGGGCGAGTACCGCTAGTTGTACTGTTCTGTGTGTTTGTCTTGTTTTACAAGTTTGTACTATCAGTTACTACCATGTGACGGTTAGTGCTGCAGTGCGAGCCGTGCGAGCAGATCCTCTGATAATCAGTGCAGGGCATGCTCGTGTCGACTTTTGCCTTCGCACGCTTTGTCGTGGCTGTGCCTGCGCTTTTTCCAAGTCAGCGCAGCGCACAGGCGTACGACATGAAAGGCGTTGGTGTCAGTAAGGTAGCTGCTGTCATTGATCGGAAATCTCCCTAGTGCTGAGCGTGCACATCTGACTCCGCGACCCTCGGTTGAATCCGGTTGCTAAACCACATGGTGGTTGGTGGATGTTGGGGGAACATTGAAAGAGATGTGCATCAACTAGAAGCATTGTTGTTAAACTTTCGGAGATGTTGATGTTGCGCGTTCGCCCATCGCCTGTACTTCGCGAGTTTGGTCAACATTAGGTTGCAGTATGCAGCTACAAAGACACGACGCGAGACGGCTTTTGCCGCGTTGCGCTGACCGGCCTGTACCCTTGGAAGTGGGCACTTTTCTCCATGGAGCATATGCAATGAATCCACCGTTCTCAGCTCGGGTACAATTGCAGCGTCGAGCACCCTATACCTGACGAGTTTTGACTTGACGGGGAAAGGAGCGCACATGAGTGTGCAGTCACGCTTTGCCATGACCCATCATTGAGCAGCTCCATCGTGCCCATGCACATGTGCAAGAATATGACAGTTGGCAGTGGGCTGATGCTATGCTCTGCTTGGAAAGGTGAGCCTTGCGGCCCGGGCAATCGGTTTCTTGTTGAAGGTCCGCTCGGAAGAGGCTGGCCTGCACTCCTCGGAACTTGTGTCGCAAGTCACAAGTGTCTCTGAACATGTTTTTGTTTTACTTCCTGTGCTTGGACTTACCCCGCGGTTCAGATTCTTTAGGTCTTTCCAAGACAAAACGATCAGTGGCTGTAGCACTCAACAAACAGCGTGGCCTGGGCTAGCATGGGTCAGCATGGATTGGGGCTCGATTACATGCTGGAAGGTTCATTCAGCAGTGTCTTCCGTTGCTCTGATTCCAAGGGTGGCGGTAAGGACTGCCATGTGTGACAAAAAAAGTGCAAGCATGTTTGTCATCAGCTGAAAGAGTTTTCCAGGAATACGCCGTGAAGTTTATCCGCGACAACGCTGGCCTGCGAAAGGCGACGGAGTGCTCGGACTCAGAAGTTGAGTCATCTGAGCCATCTCCATACACAGCATCGCACAGCGTTCAGAGCATTCCATTGGAGTCCATGTAGTCCGGTGTAGTAGCAGAGAAGTGGAGTGTGTAGCTTTGCGCACGTCAAGCCTCATTCAACTCATTCCAAATGTACCAAGGGTGGAAGTCAAGCTGATGCGACGAATTCGCACCAAGGCCAAGTGCGAACATTTCGGTAGGGTAGGACAAGTTCGGCACATGGAACATACATTCATGATGTGTCCTTCAGCTTCCTCCCCAAATAGACTTCTACTTGTAGCAGCTAGCCGCTAGGTTGCAGACGCCACCAGAGTTTGGTGGATCGTTTTTTCCACCATGTCCCTTAAAGTCAAAGTAAGCAAGCTGTGGCAGGCAGTGGAGAAGGACTCCGAGGCATGAAGCGGCCATGCGGATCTGCTCTTTCTAGCGCCTGTTGATGTTTCGACCTTTTTCAAGAACGGCCGCAGGGTGCGGGCTTCCTGCTTGGCCTGGCAAACCTGGACGCTTGGAGTCAGACATGCTCAGAGCCAGTTGTCAGTTCTGTGTTTGCGCTCTGAATCTTTGCAGTCCGTTTACAGTCTTTGCATTCCTCCCAGCGGCCGCGTGGCCGTTCGAGAATGTTTACTGCCTCCTCAAGCTTAAGCTTTGTGTTCCCTACACGACCTCCAACCTCCGAGGGCCTTTAAAGCCTTGTAAACCTTACAAGTCCCAAGGAAGTTGCATGTAACGGGTCAGATGTGCCTTGAGTCAGCTCGCCCAATCGGATCACCCATTAAGATCAAGCCTGCATTTGATCAGTTCAGCCGATTGACTAGGTTTGCAGCTCACCCGACACACTGGTTTCAGGCTTCGCATTGCTTGGGGTTAGGATTTACGGTTTAGGGCCTAGGGTTTTAGTGCCGAGCTGTTTTCTGCAGCCGTCGCAGGTCGCTGCCTCCGTTTCGGGTTTAGGGTTTAGGTCTTCCCAGTCATTGAAGAAAAGTGGGATGTATAAGAGAACTGAAGATCATAAGTTGTTGTTCGGTTTCGGCTCAGGGTTCGGGGGCCGAAATCTGGGTGGGGCAAATCCCTTAAGTTCTTGGATTCTGATGGGGTTTGCCCCGCCCAGATTTCGGCTCCGTTTTCCGAGCCCTAAATTAAATAATTAAGCACCGAAACCGAAGCAGAGCTTATGATCTTGGTTGTTTTTAAATGAATTCTGCTGTTCTTCAATGACTGCGAAGACCAAGATCCCGTCGGCTGTGGCTTGTGGGGTTTAGGGCATCCAGGTGTCGGCGTGTAGGGCTTGTACACCGCCTTACAAGCCGCTGTGAATTACTGAAGAGTGCAGTTAATTCCTGAATAGCACATGGCTTAAACGCAATCTTCAAAAATCGTGATCCGAATCACACGGCTGCTGATCAGAAAGCCCCGCTGCATGTGCACTGAATCGCAGTCGTGGATCTGTGTCGGACGAGGGGCTGATCCGAGTACGGCGAGCCAGTTCATGGAACCCCATGATCCGAAATCACTGAGCTGAATCGTTGCCCTACTGCAGCCTTCCGACACCCTAGACAAGAAGACCCAATGCCGGCACGGCACATGACCTCAACTGAGAGCAGGAAACCTTCATGCACAATGGGTGGCTTGTTTGCATGGGGCACTCCGTTCATTTCAAAACAATACGAGTCGCGACCGGAAATCTCAGGCACTTGGCCCTGGTTTTCCATCTACAGCGACTTACCAGCAGACCATGCGCCGCAACACATGTCGGTACTTGCTTGGTTCCAAGGTTTGATTTCCCTAACTTGTTATTGTAACCCTGCTAAATCACTACAGGAGTCTTTGGCTTGTTGAGTCATAAGCACATCGAGCTGTCTCTTAACACAAGCAGTATCTAGTGCCTCAGGCGCTATGACATGCGGACCGCTCTGAAGCGACAGATCCAGGAAAAGAACAGCGGGTTCCCCCTGAAGGCCAGTTGTGATTCAAGTTGTGAGTGGCCTGGTCATGGGGCCACAATCTGGCAGCATTTGTGGAGCGACGTTCGACAACTGTTCCAGTGTTGCTCGGCATGAAGTTGTGATGACCGGTCTCAATACGTCCCAATTCAGGACCTGCAGCGCTACACTTGCAACATCCTCCTGGCTCTGCGGGCTCTTTGGGCCATCAGGCCATGACCATCGATGATCATGGTGGAGTACCGCTTCTGAGTGAGACACTGCCTTCACCATCTGCCCTGTCCTGCCAGGATAATCCACACGGACATCAAACCCGACAATCTCTTGCTATCTCTGAACAAAGAGTCAGTGAAGCTGTCTGATTTCGGATGTGGCTTGGCAAACTTTCCGTGAAAATTCACGCATGGCCTCCTTCTCCAAACCATCGCAAGTTCCTGCTGATGTCATACACTGAAGGGTAAGGCGGCTAGGGTAGTTGCACCTCAGGTGCCATTGACACGCAGGAGTCCATGCAGGCAGGATAAGTATCAGGCAGCTCTACAATCAAAGAAGTTGTTTGTGTTCTTCGTGTTCTTTGTGAGCACATTTTTCGTTCGGGGGCATCCCAAAAAGGGCGCCATGGTGAGCGACGCAGCGATACAGACATGTCCGCCCGTCGATTTCATGTCAATCGACTCGAGCAAGTGACAGGGGCTATCCCTGCCAAGGGTTCTGTGCGTGAGCTCGTAGGTGGGGCACTGGAACATGGGACCAATCTCTGCTTCCGTGCTTTCTGGAAGGAGGTTTCGGAGCTCCCATGGGAGTCCATGTGAGAACCCATATGACCACCACTTCGCATTCTGCCATCTTGCGAGCGACATCGTTTTTCGCATCAGAAAGGGTAGTTTCCTACCCGTGTCTGTAGGGCATGGCATGTTCCAACTTGCCCTTGGGAGGCAAGTTCACGACTTAACTACATGTCGGAGAAGGGACCTGTCTTCCGCAAACAAAGTTCACGCCAGAACGGCTATGAACATAGAGCTGTTACATCGTCCACGCAGGCATCCCACATTCGAAGAGCCTACACAAGCAGCCGGGCGCCACAGCTGAGCTCACCATTGTACATATGCATCCTTGTCTTATGTTCTTGCCGCCGGGCGTTTGCCATTTGTGCTTACGCAATGCGGTTGTGAGTGTTGGAATTTGAATAGGAGAGAACAGCTAGGTTGGGAGGGTGAGGCGGTCAGGGATATGCAAGAGTGTACTGCCGGTGTGGTGCAGCACAAGGCTATCGAGCACCCGAGATCATCCTTGGCCAGTCGCGGCTGATCTGCATCATTGCATCGTCTTGCAGTCTTTCTTCGGAAAGAAGTCGCTGGCTTTACACAAATTGAGTTTAAACGCATATTCAATCTATATTGAGTGCTTATTCAACAAAGCATACATGTGTATATATATATACACACTCACACATGTTTTCTCCGTTTTGATTGGCGAACTCGAACTCCAGGTTCAGCACGAGGGCGGACATGTGGAGCGCGGGAGCGACTCTTTTTGAGCTTGCTTCGGGGCATGTTCTCTTCCCCGCCATGTTCTCAGAGTTCTCGTAACATTCAGCGAAGAAACGCTGAAAGAAGCATGTGCAGCAGATGGGCCGTTTGAGCAGACGATCTCCATGCATCATCATATGTTCCCTCGAAAGACGGAACAGTAGAAGTTCCTAAGGAAGGCGCGAATAACGCGATGCTCTTTGAGACTCAGCTGAAGTTCAGGCACGCAGGCAGCATGTTGAAGTTCCGGGTGTAACTCAACAAGACCAGACTTGGCGTGCACAAGGATATCCTCCGAACCTGCGGCGCTTTCAAGAAGCAGTTTGCAGTATCTGGAAAGCATGCTCTAAAGCACTTCACCACGCAGGTGGGAATGCCACACCATGTCACACCATGCCACACATTTCACAGATCGCACGCATACCTTGTCACATACCTTGTCACATACCTTGTCACATACCTTGTCACATACCTTGTCACATACCTTGTCACCCACAAAGCGAGCTGTCCTCAACTCATGACCGGCACTGGGCAGTGGTGTTGTGTTCGAGTCGGTGTAAAGTGCAAAGCAAGAATGCCGTCACTCGCAGGGGGCTTTTCGCCGCCGCAGGCAGACAGGCAATGAGCATCGTGGCCTCGAACAGATGTCCTGCTGGCACACGTGCACAAGAGATCTTCTTGAGTATAACCCAGCTGAAGTTCCTGAGTGCTGAAGTTGCTGAGGGAATCCCGTGTCAGTTCTTCTGAGGCAGCAGCTGTCGATGTCTCAGTTCATGACACCAAGTAAGACTGTCACAACGCGCTTGCGGCAAGTTGTGCAGGACCCCGGCCCATGCATGCTTGAGCGGCTAGGCATGTCTAGGCACACCGCATGGTCAGACACGTGCACTAGAAGGTCGTTTGCTCATGCCAACGCACTAATGCAATCTAATGCACTTGAGGACGTCCTTCTGGAGCCTTTCGCGGACCTTCTCGCAGGGGCATGCTTGGTGCCCGATCCTGCAAAGCGATCATCTGCACAAGCGGCTCTCAAGCATCCCTTCCTGTCAAAGCCGAGGTGCCGGGGGTTAGAGAGGGTAGAAGTGACGAGATATTGAGATGGCAGGCTGCAGGCAGCAAGGCTGGAGCAAAGCACATTTTTGCCGCATACAATGCGCGTCGCAGCTCGTTTTTTTTTTTTCATATTGCTTACCCAAGCGTAGCTGATATTGACTTGGATACATTGATCAGGTTGCATCTTCTACTTCAGTTCTTAGTTCTCCCACCGTTTCCTCTCCATCCGGCCTTGGGCGCCCTTTTGGGACAAATTTGTAACATTTTGTATCTAGAGTAACAACCCCGTTCTCTTTGTGACAACCGGCGTTCGCGGCAAGCCCCTCCACTCGAGCCCATGCTCCAATGAAATTGTGTTTGCAGGTGATCTGGACAATGTTCGGCCAGAAGGATCCACCCGGTAATGTTGCAGCTTAAATCGCAGCAGTGGTTTTTTGGACAGAATTCCACAGGATACCATAGGGCCACAGGGTTCGTTCTGCCAGCCTTGCCTCTGCCACTCGCTCTCTCTCTGCCTCTGTCTCTGTCTCTGTCTCCGTCTACTTGGCTGTCCGTCTGCATGACCATCTGCGCTGGTGCACGTGCATTCTCCTTAGAGTTCAGCACTCAGTACATGCCATTGTAACTAATCGTCAGTCATGATGCGATGAGGAATCGCTCGCAGCTGAGTGAGCAATGCTTAGGCTTTCCTGCCACATGAGCGAAGCAGAACAAGGATGCACCAACCAGAAAAGGCAGGCAGGTTCGCTACAGCATTTCCATGTGGCGAGAGGCTGACGAATGTCCCTGAGTGTACAGAGCAGAGCATCTGGACGGGACTGGCGAAAAGTCTCTATGCATCTTCTTTATACTCGCGCATGTGCACTTGAAGAGCCTGTTGTTCTCCTTATCCTCGGAACAGTTAAAACCTTGTTATTGTTTGCTTCTTGGTCGTCCTGCAAGCGTGGACTGGCACCTTGTGATAGTGTTGGCGTGTTCAGGCGCATCCCCCCCACCACAGAGCTAAGCATCAATTTTTCATTTCCATTGCAGCATGGCGCTGAACGGAATAGAAGCCGTCAAGAGGGCTCGGCAGCTGTTCCATGCCCTCGAGTGTAGCATCTGTAAGACCGAAAGTCTGTAATTCTGCTTAGGTGAACGCTGCCGTCTTCTGCAGCGATCAAAGCTTTCGTCGCGCCCGGCAAAGCCGCGCCAGCGAAGTGGCCTGCAGTCAACGAGATCATGTACGTTGTTGCGCGCTGCCGTGTCATGTTGCGCCTCAATAAGCCTTAGGTCCATGAAAGCGCGTGAAAGCGCTTCATATGCAGGTAACGTGGCTGTGCAGCAGCTGGCTGACGTTGTGGACGGTCTGGGCTCAGTCACTCGCAGCAGCTCCCTCCCCAGAGGACCTCCAAAGCATCCCAGATCTGTGCGGATCGTGCGGGGCATGTGGGAAATCGACGTCTCGATTGCCTCGCGCGCCTGAGGTTCAGCAGATGAAGATGATGAGGCCAGCCTCGCAAAGCAGGTGGGCCCTGGCTGTTGTTTCTTTCATGATTGTTGGCTGTCGTGTTGTTGCCTATGCTGCCTGGTACTTGCTCAGACTCGATGTCAAACCTTTCGAACTCTGTCAAGGTCCTCAGAATCGCAGAATCCTGGCCCGTGGAAGAGGTGACGCGCTTTGCCCGAGCTGTCCGTTCCGTTAGCAGGCTGTACGTGTCTCCGGTTGAGCTGCAGAGAGGATTGCAAAGCCCAAGCCGTTTCGAAGCGATCTAAGTGAAAGCCCCTGCACGGCCAAAGCTTTTCTTTCAGGACGAAGTTGCTGATGGCCCGGGCTTCCAGCACCGTCCAGGTGCTTGGCAACACCACTTCGATCAGCAACTGCCGCCTGTTCACGCTCAGGGACGGCTGGCCTGCTCCTCGGATTGGATTCCAAGGCCTGCCAGAGTGATTCAGAGTGTCTTCTACTCGTGGCTTCATCCATGAGATGAGCTTAGCTGGGCTGTCCAGCGCCATTCAGTGCCTGTTCCGCTGCGCAAGCATGGCAGGACAGATTTTATGGCCAGCGGTCTGGCACGGAGGCAGGTCATGCCATGTCAGGGTGCTGAAATTCAAGTTTGGCCGCACGCATCGCATTTGCATCCACACTCTCGATTGATGACCATCCTTTAAAGACCGAAGTATTACTGCTTGCATGTCTCCAGACTCCAAACGGGACTGTTCTGAACTTTCCAGTTCGCCCTGGACTCCGCCACCATCCGCAGGTCGAGCAGGAGTTGGCCCGGTTGGCCGTGCTGGTTCAAAACCTCCTGCGAGAGTTTGCAATCCTCAAGGCAAGGCGCGGCAAACCCACATAAGCAGCACGTACTGTAGTGGACTCAGGTCAGATTCTTCGTTGTGCGTGTGTGTGTGTGTAAGGCTTGACCTGCTTGTAGTTGTTCCCGCTCTGCTCCGCAGAAGGGAAGTCCCCGGGAACCATGGAACTGTTGGGTTGAATCTGGAATCTTTGTCACTGCAAAGCGGCAGCGGAACCACCCCAAATCTGAGATTCTTGCACACGATGTCAGCGATCTGAATCCCCAAGTGAGGTTGCAGTGCTTGCAGGACTCTGTGGGACACCTGGAAGACGAGCATCGCACTGTCCAGGCCCTGCCGGCACAAAGTTGGGGCAGAGAGGATTTCAGTCTTCTGGCCGCGGGGGCAGTTTTAAAGAGACATGGATACGCGGCAGAAGCATGAAGTCTACTTCTTCACACATCTTTTCTTCGTTTCTTCTTTCCTCCTCAACCTGACACCCCCTCTTCCTGGTTTACCCTGCTCGCTGAACTTCCGTACCCCTTGGCAAATAATGGCCCGCTCGGACGCTTGGCATGCTGGGCAGGAAGTGGGGGAGCGGCTGGAACGCGGTTGCCTTAGCCAGCTGGAGGAAGTCAACCAGGCCTGCTGGCTGTACATGCACAACTATGCACAGCTCCTTCAGAAATGAGATTCTGAGATGTACATAAAAGTACCATCTCCGTCATACCCCTACCTGAAGGATATTTCGTCGAAGATGAAATCCATGGCTTCCAAGGCACCTCCTCTGACTCTGAGACTCTGCGTGTGGATCAACATTGACTCTGACCATGACATGCTCCTGAGATGATAGCAGCTCCCGTATGTTCCTGCGTAGTGGGGTCTGTAGGATGCACGCATAGTGGATACCTTTCAGGTTGACGACGCGACTGCAACTGTGGTCTTTGATCTCAGCCGGAAGAATGAGCAAAAGAGAGCAAGAAAGTCGCTGATCTGTGAAGTTCTGATGCGCTCGCTTGGGCAAGGCCAAGACTGACAGATTCATCGCCTCAAAGTTCGAGGCCAGCTCACGTTTTCACGATGGCTCAGCTGTGCTCAGCTACATTCTTGAAGGAACTTTCATCAATGGTCCTTAGCCCTCTCAAGCCGCTTTCTGCAGATAGAGCTGCTTTCGAGGCTATTCTGCAGCGCACGAACTCGCGGTGTGAATCCGTCGAGTCAATGTGGGAGGTGCGTTCTCTGAGAGGGTGCGGTGTCTCCGCTTTTGCTTGCGCCCTTCTTGGTATGGAGGATTTTCGAAGTGTGGTCAGCGAACGCTTCGAGTCGAACGAGTTCAGCAGGGAGGAGAGAACTTTGCATTTTGAACTTTAGTCGTGACCTTTGCAGCATTCATTTCAGTGTGGTCTGTGTTTGTGCTCACGTGCTTCTTGAGGACTTGTCCCGGAGGCTGCAGACTCAAATTGAGTCGACTCGGCAGTTCTCGGAGGACAGCCGATTAGAAATGCAAGCCTTTGTTGTCCTTTCCGCAATTCCGTCTCCTATCTGCAATTGCTTACGATCCTTGTTGCACAGGCCTCACAGACCGTGGAGCATGTCTATCAATCTCAGAGACGTCCACTCCACAATTGACCCATCCCCCTTCAAAGCGAACGACCTAAAGCCTCCCCCCTCCCCTCTCAAGAAAAAGAAAAGCCCGACCGGAGGAATCTTCAGCATTGTGGGTGTGGGGGTCTGTTTACTGTTTGCCTCTGGGACAAGAAGCCCTTAAGCGTCTTAACCTCAGCCCGAAGGCAACCCTCCCCCCTCCCCCAACTGCCAGGCAGGTTCATTGAATAGTGGGATTCGGCCGGATTAGGGGCATGTAGGATTTAAGGCTTAAGGGAGAGGAGTACCAAGTCTGAGAGGGGCCGCTGAAAGAGTGATGCCTCGCACTCACACTGCGCCTTGCTTGCAAGGAGCTTTCCGGATTTTTAGATGCTCGGCATGCGCAGTCCAAGACCTGGGTGGAGGCCGCAAGGGAGACTTGCAGAGGGCTACGGATATCTTTTCCTGTGAGCTGTGCCGTGGAAGTTCTGAAGTTCTTGGGCTTCCTGGTCATGGCTGCAGGAGTTGCGGAGTGAAGCCTTCAACCAGAAGTACCAGCTGTCCTGGCTGAACCAGGAGACTGCACGTCCATTCACTCTAATTAGCGTTGCCCCTGCGCCTTTCACTCATTGCTGCCGAAGGTTTGAGCTTCTCGACTGTGTGCGATATCACGATAATCTGACACAATATGTCTGCCCGAGATGGTCTGCCGCTGTGTAGAGTCAGGAGCTCGACTGTCAGAAGGAATTGATTGCTGCAAGGTTTGCTGAAGCAGAGAAGGCCCATGCTTCGCTGGCAACGGTCAAAGCCATCCACACTTATTGAACGCTCGATGAGCATTGCTGCCCTGGCATGTGCTTGCGCCTGCGCCCGTTTGCGAGGTCGCTGCCGACAGCCACGCAAAGCAGGCCGTGCCATTTTTCAAGCTGGATGCAGACGCTATGGTGCTGCCATTCTCAGTTCGCCCTCCGTCAAAGGTGCAGGCCGCACTCGACCGTGAGGAGCCCTGATGGCGCATTGACTTAGAATGCCTTTCGTAGCTCGGGCAATCGCATCTCGAATCCAACCTCTGGCCGGTGGTCCAGATGCGCAACGCCAGTCATGGGGCAGCTTGCCTGGCCTGCCAAACGCAATGAAAGGCTTCATTGCCATGCAGATGTTCATGAGCTTTCTTGGCAACAGGAGCAGCTTCATGCTCGAGAAGAGGCGGCATGACACCAGCTTGTCGAGTCACGGGAGAAAAGTTGTTAGCTTCGGCTTCCTTAGTGGCATGACTCAATGACAGGAAGCGCGGCGCATGTTCCAGGAGCTGCAGGTGCAACTGGACTTGGGCGCTCAGGACAGACTGCCGTGTCAATTGCCAATGGACCCTCTTAGGACTCTTAGTCTGGCCATGTCTTGCCCACATGACCCAGACTCTGCTTTGCTTGTTGTTTTTCCCGAAGGAGCGGCTCGGGCTGTCACATTCGCTACTAACCTCGGAGAAGAGGGACCGGACCCGAGCTGCTA